ATCTTGTAATAATCTTTAATGGAAGAGAATCTGAAAAAGAATATGTATATGTATATATATGTATACCGAATTACTCTGCTGTACACTTGAAACCAACACAACATTGTAAATTAACCATACTTCAATTAAAAAAAAAAGAAGACCATTAAAAAAAAAAAAGATTATTCCTTTTGGGCCCTTTTCCAGCTAAGACAACTTCAAGTACCAAGGGACAATTTGGGGAGTTTGTTTTTAATATAAAGTCTTTACTGAATTCAGCATTACTAAAAGTTTCTGAATTTACCATGCTGGAAAATAAGCACTGTAGTTAGTTGCAGAACTGGTACCAGCCAGCGGGCTGCTGTCCTATCCACCATCACCAGCAGAGCTCAGCTGCATCTCCAAGGGCTGCTTTCCAGGGATGGCGAGGAACACGGCCTCCCTGAAGGGACGTCCATGGCTCTTTCACAAATCCAAGGAGAGGGGCTGCAGGCTGTGTCATGTCACTTACTTGAACGTGTCTGCCTAGCAAAGCTTCTGGCATATTCTACTCCAGTTACGTTATCACCAAACGGTGCTTCAAGTCCTGACTGACTGTGAAAGTGTTAAGAGATCTTCGTGTTTTGTTGTGGCTGTGACACTGTCCAGCACACAGCAGGCACCTAGTTGTTTGCTGAATGAGTTCACGTTCACCTCCCAGCTGAGCAAGGCCCCAGCCTTCTGCAGGCTGAAATTCATCACATAAAACATTGTGCAAGTGTGGGACAGCCTTACTAGGAACAAAGTCTTAGGAAGACATTTTTACTCTCAAGCTTCCTACTTGGATTTGTGATGAATTCATGAAAGAAAAGAATACATCATGACATTTCGACTCTAACATGACATCAAAACAGGTAGGACTGCAGGAAAAGTACTGGGTACAGAGTTTTACAAATTGGCGGGTGGTTCTGGTGGTCCCAAGGTCGGGGACCCCAGGAATACCTGAGTGCTGCTTTTTGCCACAGTTCCTCTTCCTCCTGAGGTTTTGGGGAAAACACACCACAGAGCTATGGTAACTGGAAATCAAAACGCATAATAATTTACTGTGAAATGAGCTTGGGCTCCAAATTCTAGTGCTGAGAATGCTGGCAAGCTGGGGTCGAGCACAGGGCTGAGGCTGGGCCAGCTGGGCCCAAACCCAGATGTCAGTTCTTATCACATGGCCGCAGGGAAGAGAAAGAAGGGAGGTGCCAGACTGTGGGCCTGCTCTGGCCACTCGGCAAGGGAGAGAGGAGCCCAGCAGGTGCAGCAGCCCTGCGGCTCTCCCAGGCCACGGCACAGGGGTGTGGGTGGGCAGGGGAGCGTGGAGAGGTGATCTGTGCCATCGCCCAGGGGGGGACCAGGTAGGACGCATCATTTCTAATGCGGGAGGGCATCCAGCATTACCGGGCCTTTCTGGAGCCATGAATGGCTTGTGTCTGGTCAACAATTAGCTCCTTTTGGTTCCAGGGACACGGACATGCTGGAGTGTGAGTGCCTTTGGCAGGAACCTGGTTTTGTTCATGGCTAAATCCACAGCTCCCAGGTCAGTGCCTAGCAAACAGTAGGCCCTGTACGAGTGTTTGCAGGATGAATCCAGGTGCTCTGTGTGGGGTGCGGATGGGCCGTGATGAATCCAGTCGAGGAGCAGTATCAGAGGAGATGTCCAAGCGCAGGCACTGTTGGGGCCAGGCCTTCCTCACTGGGCTGGGGGACGCTCTGGGGACGGAGGATGGCCCCTGGACTACGTGGGTGCACACTCTGGATTTCGCTCCAGAGCTTCCGAGTCAGAACCTCGGGGTATGCGCAGGTAACTGCACTAAGGAAAGCAGGCTTCCCAGGCAAGGGCTGGAGAACTACCCTTTAGGGATCAAAATCAGGAATTTGTAGATCTAATGTTTTGCTTGGCCACACGATGTTTGGCAAATTAAGTCCTTTTGTTGAAATGTCCAATAAAAATTTAATTTCCAATAAAAAACTGGAAGATGTGGCAATGCTGGCTCTGGCAGCCCCCTTCTGTCCCCCTGGCCTAGCAGGCGGTTGGCCCCTGACCCCTGTCCCACCACCCTGCCATTGTCCGCCTTCACTAGGTCCCTGTTATTCTTCCTGTGTCTCTTTTCTCTGGAACTGCTGTGACAGCTCCCCTGTTGGCGTCCTGTCCTGTTCACACTGTTTCAGCAGGGCTGCTGCTGAGCCGTTCACTGCAGGGGCTGCTTGCAGGCTAAGACACACCCCTGTGCCCAGACGCCTTGCAGGTCCTGGTCACCTCTCTGCTGCTATCCCCCTAGAGCCCCACAAGGAGGCCCAAGCATCTCAGACTTAACTGTACAAAACTAAGCTCTCCCCCGCCACGTCTTTCCTGCCAATGTCGATTCCATCCCAGACATCTCTCTTTCTCTTACAGCCCACAAAATCTTGCCTACTCTATCTTCAAAACACATGCCAGATCACACTGTCTCACCAGTCCAGACGTCACTGCCACCTCTTGCCAGCTCCTCTGGGCTCCCATCATCTCCAGAGAGACTCTTTCTTTCTCTCTTTCTTTGGCTGAGCCAGGTCTTAGCTGTGGCCCGCAGGATCTTCGTTGCAGCACGTGGGAGTCTTAGTTGCGGCATGTGGGATAGAGTTCCCTGACCAGAGATGGAACCCGGACTCCTGCATTGGGAGCGCGGAGCCTTACCCACTGGGCCACAGGGAAGTCTGGCGACCCTTTCAACAGTAGGTCCCTTCACCTCCCTGGGACCTGCTGTGGCTTACTTTACATTCAGAGTGAAATCCTAACTCTGAACTGGGACCCTCACCAGCCACTTCCCTCATCTCATTTGCTCCAACTTTGCTCTGTGCTTGTCGGGGCTCCTTCCTGCCCCCTCCTGGGGTGCTCTTCCTCAATTCACTTGCCTTCTCCCTCACTCTGTGATTCAGCTCAAAGGTCATCTTATCTGAGTCCTTCCCCAGCCCCCATTACTCCACATTTAATACAGGCCTTAGAATGGTGCCAGGCACACAGTAGGCACTTAAAAGCCCTCAATGTGTTCTGAACCAATGAGTGCTATCACTCCAGACACCACGAGAGGAGAGGTGCTGTCCCTCTCTCCACCTTCAGGACATGGGTTAGTCTGCCCCTTTGCCCAGGGCTGTCCAACAGAAACAGAATGCAGCCAGGGTATGATTTAAAATTTCCCAGTGGCCACAATTAAAAAGAAAAAAGAAACAGGTAAAATTAATTTCAACACTATATTTTATTTAATGCAACTGTCTCAGATACTATCATTTCCACATGTTGTAAATACAAAAAATTTACTTTTTTTTTTGTGGTACGCAGGCCTCTCACCGCTGTGGCCTCTCCCGTTGCGGAGCACAGGCTCCAGATGCGCAGGCCCAGCAGCCATGGCTCACGGGCCCAGCCGCTCCCCGACATGTGGGATCTTCCCGGACTGGGGCATGAACCCATGTCCCCTGCATCGGCAGGCGGACTCTCAACCACTGTGCCACCAGGGAAGCCCTACTTTTTCTTTTTTTAAAATTTATTTATTTTATTTACTTTTGGCTGCGTTGGGTCTTCGTTGCTGTATGTGGGCTTTCTCTAGTTGCGGCGAGCGGGGGCTACTCTTCATTGCAGTACGCGGGCTTCTCATTGCAGTGGCTTCTCTTGTTGTGATGCGTGGGCTCTAGAGAGCAGGCTCAGTAGTTGTGGCGCATGGGCTTAGTTGCTCTGCAGCATGTGGGATCTTCCCGGACCAGGGGTTGAACCCGTGTTCCCTGCACTGGCAGACGGATTCTTAACCACTGCGCCACCAGGGAAGTCCCCAAAATTTACTTTTTTACATTTTACATTCTTTTCTTCTTAGTACTAAGTCTTCCAAATCCAGTATTTTATATTCACAGCCCATGTCAACCTGGACTTGTCATATGTGACTGGGGCGGCCTCACTGGATGTTCTGCACCACATCTTACTTGGTAGTTCTTCTTTAACCTTCTGTCAGCACTTTGAGTGTCAATACTTAAGTAGGGAAACCTGCAAGCCACTCCCCAGACAAGACCTGATTTTCACTCAGTATTTTTAACTCCCCACACTGCTCTTTCAAAGCACTTATCATAGCCTGTAATTAGATACCTGTATGGCTATTTGATGAACTACCTTCTGTTCCTGGTCGTTCTCAGTGCCTGATTTAGTGCCTGGCCCATAGCAGACACTCAGTAAACATTTGTGCATTAATGTATTCAGTGGCTTAATTCTTTCCTTTTCTCTACTGTATATTTTTACCACATAGGTTCTGCTTCTGTGGAACTTCGCTTTGCTTTTGCCTTAGTATGTTTTCAGATTATTTCAAAGCAAATTGCCTCCTTATTCGTATTTCCTACTTTCAATTCTCTATTTGGTTGAGGTCAGTGTTTTTCTTTTTGTTTTTTAGGCCGCGCCGCGCGGCTTGCGGATCTTAGTTTCCTGTAAGGAAGCAGGTCTGAGAGCTGACTAGGTTGGCGGACGGTTGGTCCAGCACCCCTTGGACAGCGGCAGGTGCAGCCAACGCAAGACGGACTCGTTGTGAGCGGACAGAGCACCGATGGCCCCAGCCCCGGGCCCTCTCTTCGCGGGCGCGCCTCCGGACCAGCTGGCGCCGCGGCTGCACCGCAACACCGCGCCTTCAGGCGGCTTCCGCCCAGACCCGCTCCCGACCATTCCCCTCGCCGCTTCCGGCACTTGGGAAGGCCAATCGTCACGTCCGAGAACAAAAGACCCGCCTCCTCCGCCAGGCAGGTAGCCAATCCGGCTGCTCGCTACCCCAGCGTCCCGTGCGCCAGGACGCAAGACCTTGCCCAATCCGTCCGCGGACGTGCTTCTGGTCCCGCCCCTGCCTGTGGTAGAAGCTGTCAATCTCGGCGTCCCCCGTGGCCCCGCGCGCACTTCCTTCCCGACGCCGTGACGTGCGCAGCCCTGTGCCCGACGGCGGCGGGCCAATGGCGGTGGTGGATACGGCGGGCCAATGGGAGGTAACGTCTCATGCGGCCCGCGCCGCCGCAGCCGCCGCCGGGTCCCGGAGCCAGAGGCCGCCCGAGCCGGAGCGCGATGGAGCGAGGGCCCCAGGCGGGGAGGCGCGGCCGAGCGCGCGGCCCGACGCCCCCTCAGTGAGCGCCCGACCGCCGCGGCGCAGCCCGAGGGCGGGATCGCGTCTGCCCGCCTCGCCGCCGCGCCGGCGCTTGGAGCCCGCGCCGCCTTCCCGCTCGGGCCGCGGGCCGGGGACGGCCCGGGGCTGCATGGCCTCGCCCGCGCGCCGCCGCTGAGCCCTGGGCCGGAGACGGAGCCGGAGCCGGTGAGAGCCGCGGTCGCGCCGGGGTTGGGGCGGGCGCGGGGTGTGGGGCGGCCTTGCGGCCTGCAGGCCTTCCGCGCCGGGCGGAGCAGCGCAGCGGGCTTCGGCGGGCCTGGGGGCCGGGGTCCGGGGCAGCCGTGACGGGCCTCCAGGGCCTCCGGGCGGGCTTGTGGGGGGGGATCCGGGTGGGCCTGAGAGCCTGGGGGGTAACCGGGAGGGACGACGGCGGGTTTCGGACGGGCTTGGGGGCCGGGGGCAGACGGGGGTTTCAGGCTGGACTGGGGGGCAGACAGGGGCTGAGGGTGGGCTCTGGGTGGGCCTGGGAGGCCCAGAGGGCCGACGGGGGACTCCGGGTGGGCCTCGGGCCCTGGGGGCCCTACCGGGGTCCTGGGACAGCCTTGAGGGGCAGAGGGAGGGCTCTGGACGGGCGGGGGCCGACGGGGGTCTTCGAGGGGCCTGAGGAGCCGACGGGGGCTCTGGGCAGGCCTGGGGGGCCGACACGGGGCTGAGGGTGGGTTCTGGGTGAGCCTGGGGAGCCGGAGGGGCCACGGTGGGCGTGGGGACCTTGGGGTCCCGGGGCAGCAGTGAGGGGCAGCCGGGGGGCTGCGGGGGGCTCGGGGCGGGCCTGGGGGGCCCGGGAAGCCTTGAGAGGCCGGCCGTGGGCTGTGCAGGGCCCCGGGCACCTGGGGAGCGGGGCGCCGACCTCTGACCCGCGGGAGGGGCGCCTTCGCGGTGTAGGCTGTAGTTGTTATTCCCAGCGTCCTATTATTATCGCTGTTTTGAAATGGGAGCAGGCGGCTTCGGGCTCTAAGCCGGAGGGGGAGGGCGAGCCGGGGCCCTGGAGGGAGAGGGGGCGTTGGGGCCGCAGGAGGCGCGTGGGCCCGCGGAGGGGCAGGAATGCGGGGCAGCGGTGCGGGGGTGTTTCGGGGGGAGGGTAGGCGGGACTGGGGGGCGGGTGGGAGGGAAGCGGCGGCGGCGGCTGCAACAGCAGCCCTTGGCCTCAAGGAACAATGTGAGACGTTGCCTGAAATGTTAATTTCCGTTCCTCATTTCATCATCCCCTGGCAGGGCGGTAGCTGTGAGAGCGCGTGCGTGTGTGTGGTGTGTTTGTGTGTGTGTGTGTGGTGTGTGTGTGTGTGTGTGGTGTGGTGTGTGTGTGTGTGTGGTGTGGTGTGTGTGTGTGTGGGGTGTGTGTGTGTGTGTGTGTGTGTGTGTGTGTGTGTGTAGGGTTGGCCCTGCCACATGGATTCAGTCCCCTTTCAAAGAGGGATCGTGTTGTTGAATCTTGTGTCTCTGCCGTTTTGGGGGGAGTCTTAATTTTTCTTGAGGGCTGCTCTTTTCCTGGTGTCCCATCAAGGTTTTCTGCTTCTGTTGTGTTGTGAAAGCTAGTCTCGTATCCCAACTTCCGAAGAGTTTTGGAAGAGGCTTTGGGAGATTAAGCTGTCCTAAGAGGGCCCTGTGCTTCCAAAACCATTTTCTTTCTAACAGTTCAGATGCAGCAGGCTTAGGTTTCATGGTTTCTGTAGGTTATGAGAAGTTTTATGTTCGTTTGCAAGAACAGGATTTCTCAGCAGAGAAGTCAAATTTCAGGCTTTCTTATATGGTGAGAGAGTATTCTGAAGTGATTTTGCACAATGTCCTTAACATTCCTTTTCCACTGAGCAGTGAGAGTGCGCGCAGTTGTTGAATTGGGGGGGTGATGAAATGCTCTCAGCCAGAAGATGTAAGATGATACTGCTTGTAGAAGAAGTGCCATTGAAACAGTTACTATTTTTGGTTTGTGCAAACCCAGTCAATGGCATAACTTGGATAGTTCTAAATCAGAGACCCTGAGACTGTGTTTGATGCCTTTAGGACCTTGATTGCGCTTACTCAGTGTTGCTGTCCTGGAAGACCTGGAGTTCTGTTTGTGTTTTTTAGAATGATTGCACAAGTACTCTGGTATTACTTTGAAACTGTAGTTAGAAAGGAAAAAGGGAACACATCTTGCTCAACTTAGATTGTGACCCTTCATCCCCCGCCCTCCATTCAGCTGTTGTCCTCCCTCTGTGGTGTCACGCTCAGGAGCGGGCTCGCCTTTGATAGGCTGGCTCTCTGAACGGAGGAAACAAAGACCAAGTTGCTGTGACATTTTCCTCTGTTCTTTGTGTGTGCCTCTTGAGTTAGTTAAAAAGCTATCCACAGATAGTGCCAAATTTGACCCAGCTTTGAAACTTTGAAAAGATCTTTTTCTTCTAAACGTTTTTTTTTATCGTGGGAAAATATACATAACAAAATTTACCAGAAGTTTGTTTTTAAAGGTGTCACATAGTCTTGAATTCCTCCTTTGCAGTTGTACCTTTGTGCTGCCACTGTTGGATGTTTTCCTTTGGGCGTGCTGTGGGCCAGCCATGATAATCACACTGCACAGCAGGCCTTTCATCTCTCCAAACCAGATGGGCTGCTTGTGACTAGTGGCTGTCATCTTAGCTCTAATTACAGTGTTGATACAGTGACAAGTAGAACTTTCTACAAATAGAGTTAAAGAAGCTGTGCTATTTGTACTGGAGAATATTTTTCAAGAGGCGTTGCGTTGCGTGCCTTGAGTTTTTAAGTACATTTGACACAGTAAGGTTACGTTTCATCCAATATGAGAGGAGAGTTACTTTGCATAGGATGGCAATGAGCCCATCATCAACTAAATAACATAATTAGAGAGCGTCAGTAAATGCTGGTTCAGAGCATGGTCTGCATTTGTTGCCAAAATAAGTGTTTTGATCTGTCCATTAGTCCATGTAAGTCCCTTCATCTCTCATATGTAAGTATAATGGATGAGCTTCCTTGAAGAGCAAGATACTTGCTAGTTAATAGGTGCGAATGACGCTGCACTGCTTGCCTGGCTGTGTGCTGGGTCAGTTCACTATTGCTGTTCAGTCAGTGCTCTGTGGGGACTGAGTTTGGCCTGTTTGATAAACTTTGTACAAAAAATCGAATGAACGCAAATAAAAGTTACTGTCTTGAAATGTTTTCATGTGTGTTCTGTTAATTTGAATTTCAAATGGAATTTCTATGCAATTCAACTTTTTCAGTTTTATCTTAAACTCTGTGAAAGATGGCGTCAATCCCCAGCACCTGGAACGCAGGCAGTTAGAGATAATTGGTATAGAAAGCCTTTTTAAAAAGGCTTAGGAAATGATCCACTTCAACAACTCTCTGTTAATTCTTTTTTGTTGTTGTTGTTAATTCTTATAGAGATGTTTCTGTTTCTAAGTGGTTCTTTTTTTTGTTGTTTGATGCATCTTATTCTTGATATCTTTTAAGCCAGAGTCAGACTCAGCTGTGTACGTAAGTGTATGTTTTTGTTAGTATTCTTCTGTGCTTTTCTTAACTCCCGCTCCTTTCTCCCCATGTTAAAAATTTTCTTTAACTTCACCTTTCAACCAAATAGTGTTTTATATATATGCTAGAACTACAAGTATTATTATTATTATTATTTTTGCGGTACGTGGGCCTCTCACTGCTGTGGCCTCTCCCGTTGCGGAGCACAGGCTCCGGACGCGCAGGCTCAGCGACCATGGCTCATGGGCCCAGCCACTTCGCGGCATGTGGAATCTTCCCTGACCGGGGCACGAACCCGCGTCCCCTGCATCGGCAGGCAGACTCTCAACCACTGCTCCACCAGGGAAGCTCTACAAGTATTATTTTTATGAAAGTGTCCCAAAGGATTATTAACTGGCCTAACCCTGATTGTGTGACCCCCTGCCCCCACCCATGTCCTTCACTCAAGTCCTCTCAACTCTTCATGCTCCGGTTCCATTGGCCTTTCATTTCCTAGGTGACCCTCTGCCTGGACCAGGGTCTTGCTGAATGTCCATCATTGTCTCCCTTGCAAATCCTCCCCGCCCCCCCCCCCCCATCAACACAGTTGATCAAATGTGTGATCACAGGGCTCTAAGCTGAATGAAGAGAGGCACGGTCTCTTTGTCACCCAGGGCCCAGCCTAGGCATGACCCTGGGCTTAGAATTGGCTTAGGAAGTATTTGTTGAATTGTTTAAAGGCAGTGTATGGAAGTGTTTGAGAAATTTTGAAAGGACATACTTAGTATCATGAACATTTATTTGATTGACTAGGAATTACACTATGTACATTTTAGCCATTTTCCTATTTGTTGTTATTACAGGTTTACTTGCGAAAGGTGTGGGGCATGGCTTTTAAAATTGGCACAGAACGAGAGATAAAGGAAATAAAGTAACGGTTGTCTTTGTGGAAGAAAAAGAATGCTTTCTGTGAAAGCAGCTTTAGTAGGACTGCGGTGCGGGGGCCACAGTCAGAGGCTCGCCAAGTGTGGTTTGCTGCTGCTGCTCATGGTGATGAGTACTTCGGGCACCTTCTGGCCGCGTGTCATGTGAGCAGTGTGGAGTCCTGTGAAAGGTTTAGAATTTTTTGATTTATGTTTTTTATTTCCTAAACGGTTGTAATAAAGAAGGCCAAAGCAATATAAATTCTCCAGAATGGAGGCAGGCCCCTTAACATTATTTATTTATTTTTGGCTGCATTGGGTCTTCGTTGCTGTGCGTGGGCTTTATGTTGGGGAGAGCGGGGGCTACTCTTCGTTGCGGTGTGCGGGCTTCTCTTTATGGTTGTTTCTCTTGTTGTGGAGAACGGGCTCTAGGCACACAGGCTTCCGTAGTTGTGGTGCATGGGCTCAGTAGTTGTGGCTCGCGGGCTCTAGAGCACAGGCTCAGTAGTTGTGGCACACGGGCTTAGTTGCTCCCCGGCATGTGGGATCTTCCCGAACCAGGGCTCAAACCCGGGTCCCCTGTGTTGGCAGGCGGATTCTTAACCAGTGCGCCACCAGGCAAGTCCCTAGTTTTGGCATTTTAATGAAGAAAAAAAAATCTCTTTGGAGGGAATACACCAAAATGGAGTTGTGTTTTATTTTTTTCCCCCTTATGTTTGTGTTTTCTAAAATTTTAAAAATGAAACTTATGTATTTGGGAAAAGGTTGTTATTGAAAAGCCTA